TGAAGGTGAAGATAGCCTGTACGTGATGGAGTCCGTGAACCGGTCGAATTTCAAGTGCGTATTAAAAAACTCATCATTAGGAAAAGTTTCATGGGTGTCTGTCCGAAATAACATCAATGCTCAATGAATCATCTAATTGTAACTTTACTCTACTAGCACTCACCGTGACAATTTGAGTCAGAGGTTCTTCCACAAAAAATCATAGAATTTGAGTTTTTTTCTTCCATGAGGGCATTGGCCGCTCCAACATTGAACGCTAAAAATTCATGAAACTTGTGCTAGTCCGTTGATGCAATGACGACAGCAGCCTCGCGTTGAACGCTTCAGTTACGGTTCATTCTCAGTTTCACTGGCAGATGCGCGGAGTTCAACGTCGAATTCGACTGAAGTTTTCAAATTCGCACGACTTTGAGCGGAGTTGTTACTCTCACTCTCCTTTGATCCTGGTTGAGTGAATAATATGAATCCTATGTTTCTATTAACCATTAAGGCTGAAATTTCGATTTAATTTTATCTGGATCTTTGAGTAACTTGAATAGAATTTATTTCATATACAAATTTGAGGAGGGGGAGGGGGAGGAGTTTAGTAGGTAGACTAGTATAATATGCACATGTAACAGTAGGAAATCCAGCACCAATACCATGACACTGATCAACTGGAGACGATCCATCCATGACTTTGTCAGCTCGCTTATGACTCTTTTTCATGCATCGTCATCAAGTTTCTTCTGGTCTCGTTGCGCGACTGCCCGTAAATTAAAACCATGTTAATTTTGACTTGCGTAGAATTTGCATTAAGGGCATGGGCTTACCTTTCCTTGCAATTGGCTGACCATTCAACACTACGTTTAGCGGTCTCTATGCTCGGGAATTGAACATTGCGGAGTGAATGAATCGGGACAAACAGTGCGTCTTCAGACACTGCAGAGTGATCTAGCATGATGAGGGAGGTAGATCATCACGAGAACAGATATCCGCGAGAGTGCATGGTGAGTATTGGGGCTGAGGGGATAGGGTAAGCCACAGTGATGTTGGTGACAATAATAAGTGCATACCTCATACAACCTCTGTTGGAAAGAGATCAGAAACCTTGCGTATTGAAAAGTACGGCGTCTGGAAATTCCAGCACGTTGGATGTGGAAACCATGTGTCCCAACTTTCGACGACCAGCAGCCACCCATGAAATCTATTCCTACAGCATGTAGAAAAGTCACTGTAGCACCTGTGAAGAAGTCGTAGCTGGCCCATGCAGCACAATGAGATGCCTCTGAATCAGTCATTTCGTATCGATGACAGCACTCTCGGCCTATGGGCAATCCAACGGACTAGCGCAGATAGTTGTGCTCGATTCTCCACGCTTGCGCAAGGGATTTGTCGTGGTATTGTAGAAAGCAGAGGATGAAGTAAATGCGAAAACATTGCGAAAGTAGGAAGGAACTTGTCGAAAATCTTACATGCCGAAGTCGAGGTATATATACCCAAATTCCCTATAGGAACACGAGAGGCGAATCAACAAAACTTTTGGGGTGCGTACCAATTATCCTGTGGATTGGCGTTAGAAACAATGACGATGGGCCAAAAGACAATCCACCGTTGAGTGGCAACTGGAAGCGTGCGAATTAATCGGATTCTGCACAATGAAATGGGGGTCTCCGCTGAAGGACAATGGGTTTGAGATGCAGAGCGATGGTGGCCACCCGAGTTGGCATATGAACAACGGACCAAACTACGTCGATATGATCAAGTGGCCCAGGAGACAAACAAATTATTTCATGGTGATAATGCAATAAATCAATTTTTTTTGCCTCGAAGCTTCTACGGTACAGATATGCCTTGAAGAATCTATACGAAGGCAAAAAAAGAAATCCGCGGTGGTAGGGACTGATCACTAATTGGAGCTACACTTTTCTTTACAGAGCGTACTCACCATGTAGCATCATCGTCTTCCAATCGGTCACTCCCGCGAAAGATAACGTGCCCGACTTTTCTTTCGAACAAAGGAGGAACGCGAGGTAGAGGTGATTTTTTGCTTCGTCGGTGATGCTGTCGGACAGAGTGTTCTTTCGGGTTTTCCATTGATATCGGACCATCTAGGATCATGGTATGTGTTTCGCCAGCCCCAAAATCAGACCCAATTGCATTTGCGTTGGAAGGATTGCTAGCGGAAACTGAACTTGGATCGCTGATAATATTAACGTCTTCATTATACGGAGGTGCAGGTATACGTCGAATCTTGTTACAAGATAAACAAGTGTATGCGACGCCATTTCCATGAGAAGATAGAGCTGTAGGAAGACAGGTCAATAACCGTAGCTATGTAGCAAATCCACGGTGACATACCCTTGACTCGAACTGAACATGTGACACCAGGCATGAGTATATTGTTGCATTGTTTACATAGCGTACGTTTCACTGCCGGATCCCTGTTCATGGAAAAAAAAGAGTTAATACATTTGACATTCGTGGCTATGTAGCGGCTTACATTCTGACAGTTGTTCTATGACCGACTATCTTCATCGTTTGGATATACGATTTTGATAGATCGGATAGTGAGGAGGGATGTTTCGCTCTTCTTTGGCCCGATCTTTTTTGCTCTCTTTTTGTCAGAGGCAAACTTTGATCAGCGACGTGAGGAAGAGGGTGATTATGAACTGCATTGCCGTCTGCTTGGTGTGAGGTGCTTGCACCGATATTACTGAGAAGGGCACCGGCTTGATACAGAAAGTTCATCCGTTGAATGATATCTCTATTTGCAACGCTGTTTGGATTCGGGACCTCATCTTTGTTTTTTTTTGCCATTGCGGTGAGAGTGGAGGCAGTATGATGTGAATTTGATTTGAAATGATAAACCAAAAGAGGTGAATATGAACTGTGAAAAGCTTACCTAAGCTGAGAGAGGGGGATGTGTACGTGGCAGTTGTCGTGGCCGCAGCTTTCTTTACGACCACCACGTAGGCCCTTTGCCTTCACGCAGCCACTTCTCCTTTCCTACAAGACTCATTCTTTCTTTTCATCCTCCACCTTCCTCAATACGTATCTACACGTCTTCTCTTCACGAATCCATTCTCTCTCAATTGAACACCACAATGAAGCGCCCCGCAGACTCAGCTTTTGACGAGCAGATCGCTCTTCCATCACCTCCCGCCGACTCACCCATTTCAGAACTCGATCCTCCGGTTGCGGGTTCCTCGCGCAAGCGAGCACGATCAGAACTGACTGCCGAAGAGCGGAAAGAAGCCCGTGCACACCGTAATCGAATCGCCGCTCAGAACTCTCGTGATCGTCGCAAAGCTCAGTTCCAATACCTCGAGCAGCGTGTTGCGCAACTCGAGGAGGAAAACAAGCAACTCCGAGCAGGCTTGGGATTAGCTGAACTTAGCCGATCAGACGAACAAACTAGTGAGCAGCGAGAGCGGGAGAAAGCAAGAGAGAAAGAGAACGAGGAATTAAGAGCGAGGATCAAGACACTCGAGAATGGTTGGGATGCCGTCGTGAAGGCCCTAACGGCTTCAGGTCTCCCCCTCAACCTCCCTGGTCCTCCCCCATCTTCATCCGAATCGTCGTCCAACCATCCTTCAAATCCGCCTCCGTCAGCATACCCCGTGATCGTCCCACCGACACCGGTATTCCCAATTTCCCCATCACCCACCGCCTCCCCTTCTTCGAGTCTCAGTGTTGATTTTGATGAGTTTGAATCCACTCGCCACCTAGCACGGGTGGCGACCACCGATGCCCCTCCTTTATCTTCGGTGACCCTGCAGCGGGTGGATCCAGCAACACGAATCAACTTCAACTCGAGCTCACTCCTTCATCTACTCCTTCAACAACGACGTCAGCGACTCCATCCTTTGATGCGACTTCCAATGTCGACGAGGTTACCATGGAAAACCTCCTCCGGGAGATCCTCGCGCCAAGTCCCACCATGCCGTCGTCGTCTCTGCCTATTGATTCCCTCGCCAAAGCGGAATCAGAAACCAAATCCACAACCTCGACCACCATGGTCCCGCCGGTGATCATTCCAGCGGAGACTGTGGACTGGGAGGGTGAGGCAGAGATGCAGAGACTCTTGGATATGCTCCCCGCTGTCCCTCAAGATGCGTCAATGAATATAGATGTGGATGTGAACGCTGTTGACTTTCCCTCGGCTCTTGATCTGGAGTTGTGTGGCTGGGATCTAGGAGCACTCTTACCACAACAACCTCCTTCAAGCGTATCCTTGGTCGGCGCGTTCTGAACAAAATCAACAAATGTACCCACATCTATTTTCTATGTATCCTTATTCACTTTCGTCGCATCTCCGGGTCTCTGTCTTCGTTGTCCATATGATCGTCTCTTATTTTTCATCATCATATCACCCTTTCTCCTGGTTTCTAATTAGTTCACTCTCTCCGTTATATCTGTTTCTTTCATCTTATCCACTGTCAAGGACCTTCCTAATCATTCTCTCTACATCGTAGTTTTCATCATGCCGTTTGATGTTCTCCTTCTTCCTCTTGTCTTATCTTGATGCTTGTCTCCCTTCTGTTGTTCATGCTTTTCTCCCCCTCGGGGTTGATGAATCGTCTTTGGATGATAGTTGGTGAGCGCTCGAGTTGGGCTTTGGGTCTTTTGTAGGCATTTTGAGCATGATGTTTTTTGTCGTAGTGTAGAGAGCAATCGTAGTATGTTGGAAGTTCAAAGGTTGATACTCGTGAATCAAGCTTCAAGAATATATAAATAATTCGAGCAGACGTTGAATCGGATGCTACTCTCACATAAATTTACAGCTTGTATATTGAATTTTTGAACTGCGAGGCAACTTTGGAACCACACTGAGTACAAGATATGCTCTATACAAAGGTACGACTACAGAGGTCAGCCACGGAGACTACAAGATAAGTAGATATGTACTCTCTAGATCTTACATCGCAATCGTTTCATTGAGATTTGTTAAACGTGCACGCGGAATTTTTCAATGAGCTTGAACAAATTAGTATGAATTTTTACTGAATTTAAGTAATGGCTGTGTGGTCTAATGGTTATGACGTCTGCTTCACATTGTGTGCGTACGCTGAAGGTTCCCGGTTCGAACCCGGGCACGGTCAAGTGCTTTTTTCAGTAGTTTGAAAGTTTTTGGCTTCAAGTTGAAGTGAGACGGAGGGTTTACAACCAATACATACCACAAAAAAAAGTCAGTAAAGATTCCATTTCGCGCCAGTGTCGTCAAGCAATGGAGGTCATATATTCTACGATGTCTATAATATGTTTTAGTATGTATAGATTCAGCTTTCCTGAATCACGTTCAATTCCTCCAATTTCTTCTTATAAGCATCCAACTCGGTGTTATCAAACCCACTAAAACTTTCAAAGATAACATCCTTCAATGCGGGATAGAAATAATGCTTCGCATTGTTCGTTGAGGTCGAAGTTGAAGTCTTTTGGACTTCGAGGAGATAGTCCGTGAATTTTGAATAACTTTCCGCGGTAACTTTCAATGTAGAGATAGACGAAGTGTCTAAACCGTGAGTCATCTCCATGAAATGTCTTCCTTTGTCCACGAGTACGTGGACAAAAACAACGGAAAGATCTGGGAGCGAGTCGGAATCCACATACATCCACAGGTCGTCCTCCCCTTCATCTTCGATATATGTGCCACGTCTAAGGTCCTTTGGATCTAACACCTGTGACCATGCTCGGAATTCATAATCCTTAGGCTGCTGGTCTTTAAATCGATGCTCCATGGCATAGAGTGACAGGAGAGGGGGATGATTTGTGTCCTTCAACCTGGCCGCAAGGGAGTTCATCAAATGAACAGAATCCGAGAGTTTCGAATAAATGCAAAAGATGTCTATCTTTGTAGTTGAAGGAAACGAGATGTGATCCAACAGATGAGTCAAATCTTCTGAATCTTCGCAGACGTGGAGGAGTTTGAGGTTCGGCAGATAAATGCATCGTTTGAGCCCCTCTCCAAAACTGGATAGATAAGGCGTGGATTCTGTTATTGAAAGTGTCTCTAATTCCCTCAAATTCTCCAAGGCATTGAGCATGCCGACGAAAGAGGCAGATGTAGCGACGATATCGGTTGAACGAATCAATGAGAGATGTCGAAGATTGGGAGCAAATACGGCATCTTTCCAAGACATACTGAATCCACGAAGGATCAACCGTCGTAGATGAGTGGAGTGCTTGAAATGTTGGATGAAGGAGTCAGCCTGGAATAAAGGTCCCCGTAACTCCAATTCATGGATACGATGAAGCTCTGCTTTAAGTGCGTTGAACGTGAGTTCTTGACGATTCAAAGAGCCACTTTCGAAGGATCCATTCAGTTGAATAGAAAGTGGTGCATCGTCGCTGTTGGCCTCTAACTCATCTGCTCCTTGAATAATGTTCGACCTCTGATTTTCATGAAACCGTGATCTTTCGATGAACGCCTCGACACATTCCAACCTCAAAATCACGATATGATTCCAGAGAGATGGAATATTCAGCGCGATTTCTCTCCAAAACTTGCATACGTGTGTGATGCGAAGCCATTCGTATGGATTGGGATGCCCTGAACGATGTAATCTGGCGTATCGGATAAAAATGGCTGAAAGAAGTTCGAACGGGAGATTTTGGATCGTTGTTTTCGGAATCGTTGACCCCACGGTTGTTTCATGCATATGATTGTTGTTGGATATGGATATGGAAGAATCAAATTTCAACGAACTGTCAGAGGACATCCCTTGTTCTCAGATTCGTCTAGAATCTGAAGGGTGAACCTTCAGTTTAAAAACTATTCGGGGACTCGGCGAAGTCAGATTGCAACTAGTGTTTTAGATTGAACCTTCAGCAACGTCTGAGGTCTAAGTGAAGGATTACACGTACCTGACTGCTGCACGTTGACAAGATGTAGAAGAGTATCCTACTTGCAACCTTAGACCCTGGCAGCTTAAATCGACACCGTCGTCGTTGTCCGATATTGGTATCTACAAGTCAGCACTAGTCAGCGGCGATATACCGAGTTTGTAAGCAGCAATACATGCAGATAAGCACCTATATATCGAAGTCAGGCTTTCTGCCACCAGAAGTCTATCTGTCACAAGTCTGAAATCCACAGTTTCCTACTGTAAGTAAAAAATCAATTTGACAAAAGCGGGTTGGACTTTGGCTTTAATCACAGATTTGTGAATACGGATTATGAAGCCACGGCTGCAATTATCATAATGAGAAGTTGGACGTTTGTGAGAGTCGCAGTAAGCTCTCACCACCGAATACCTGGGTTGAGATCCTGAGAGGTTGACGTATCCCGTTCTGTTAATAGTACCCCGAGTGATTACTTTAAGTTTGAAGTACGTATCGACCTATCAATTCACGGTAAGTTGCAACAAAGTTGACCCGTGACGTTCAAAAGATACTTACTTGGGGTTGAATTGAATAGTCCCTGCATCAACTGATATCCTGATGGATAAGTGACAGTGAATTGAGAGAAGCTACTAGGGTTCAAAAAAGTCAGCGAAAGTGTAGCACACACTCCCAAATTAGCAGCGGAGATCTTTCGTCTATATCATCATGTTGCTGTGAAGTAGAACTATGATGAGAATCAGCAGATATTCAAATTCGACTTACACGAGGAAAATAAAGAGGAGGAAGAGGAGGAGGAGAGGAGAGATGTTCGTACTCGGAGGGAAAAGGCGCTTCGAGTAATAGGTATCACGTGTACGAGTACTTTCAAGTTGAACTCGATGTCTGAACTCGAACTTGGGAGGACTAGACAATTCGGAATCAGACGAACTTCACAACAAAGCAATTCGAGGGACCGAAATGAATCTCGGGACATCTATGATCAGTGATAGTAAAAGTAAAAGTAAGTAGATCGTATAATACTGCGGTCATTGGTCCGTTGACAATCATCACAATGCATACAAGCTCAGAACAGGTGGTAAGAACAAATGTACAATGGTTAGAACTCGATATGCGACGGAGGAAAAAAACAAAACGCAGTAAATCGGGGAAGAAATGTGATTTGCGCAGTGGGAAAGACGTGGAAGTTAAGCGGTGATGGGATGCTCAAGTGAGTGGGTGGGGATATGTACAATGGCACACGGAAAGGTGTGTGAAAACCCTAGGTATGGATAGGAGGAAACCACGATGATAAATTAGATTAAATGAATGAGATGGAGGGAACCCAAATGTGCGAAAAGCTTGAGAGGTATGGCAGAAACAAATGCAAAATATGAAGAGCAGTCATGAGTGGTATGAATGGAGAAGTGCGGAGGAGAGAAAAGAAAACCGTTCATGTCATCATCATCATAGCAACAATCATTCGTCATCATTCATCACTTCCCCTATGTCCTATTTTATCGCTGTTTCCTTCGTAAAGAAGTAGACCTTACACCGAAGGTGCTACCACTTATCGAAGGTTTAGGACGAATAGCTCCCGATGTTGATGAGCCCGAAGGTGGAAGAGCGGATGAAGAAGGTGCGTTTCCGATACCGAATGTACTACTTGCAGTTGCAGTAGGCAGTGCACTTGCTCTTCCTGATGGACCTGAACCGGACGAATGAAACGCCGGTATTGTAGGACTACTGAATGGCGTTGAAGGTCCCGAACCAGTTGGCATCCCCAGTAATTTCTGAACAATGAAGGGACGAGTTTCCGGCACGGGGGGTTGCGATTGAGATGCAGAATGTGGTGAATTAGGTAAAGGAGGATGGGGAGAACGTAAAACGCCTTGTGCACTGAAAGGTTGAACGGCACTCGCTCTTCTCGATTCAGATTGAGAGACTGTTGAATAGGATGAATGTCGGAAATGAATATCAGATACTGTTAATGGAATAGAATCTGTTGGTGAAGGTAGCATCTCGGGCAATTCGGACTTCATCGCATCCGGTTCTGGCGAAGATGAACGGTTGAACTGAGGATGATTGGGAGAATCGGAATGAGTTGTCTCATGTGACACTATATCCATTGGCAGTGTAGGTAATGGTTCTTGAGGTGTTGCCGGAGACGGTAACGATACTGGTTTTAATGAAATGTGGGGACTCGCAGAGGGTCGGCTTGAAGATGGTGCGCCGATCGCCATGGAAAGGTGTAACGATTTTCGAAGGTCAGGAAGAAGTAGGGTGGGAACGTCGGGTACTGGTTGATCACTACTCGTGTTGTGCGAGGACGTTCGATTAGAACTCGATCTTGACTGCCTCGTTGACTGAGCACCACTTTTCAGAGACGCGGACGCAGAAGACTCCATATCAAGAAACGAGTAATGTGATTCCCGACCACTACGCCGCGACTGTCCTTCATGCGGTCCGGGAGGGGGCAGCACAAGTTCGTCACCGCCATCCTCAGCTCGTTGAGGTGCTAAAGATAGAGCTTGTTTCAGTGACTGAGGAAGGGAGAAAACTCCAGCGCTGGTATACCGGCCTTCTCGTCTCTGCAGACTAGTACCGAATGCCTCGTCCTCGAAGTTTACTCTTAAAGGACTAGCCTGAGATGGTCCACCGTAAATCTTCGACTCAGACGCGATATCACCTTCTGGGGATATCACGGGCTCCATATGTGATAGGAGAATTCCCCGACTGCTGTCTCGGGTGTGGGGAGAGAGCGGAGAATTCATATTCCTTGGACCTCTAGGTCGAGGACTCCGCGTAGCTCCTTGTGAAGCTGAGGTTGGTCGAGAGACTGGTGAAGAGCGCGGCATGACTGATATTCGCAAGGGACTGTATGTACCCTGATGCGACAAGTCGGGTAAATCAATGGAATAACTGCCGTCCGAATTTTGTGAAGCATGTCGGCCGCTCCCAACTCGAGATATTACTCGAATATCTTGACCATGTTCATCATCATCATCAGACTCTTCCTTCACAGGGCTGATGTCCAAAACAGCGTCACCCGTAGAGCGACCTACCTCTTGAACATCATCTCTGGTAGGGTCTGACTTCTCGGGATCACCTTGACGAGAATGGATAGAACGCGCTATGAAGGATAATCGACGGAGTCTCCCTAAACCAGGATTGATGAGTAGATTACGCTTCCGTTGTGTTGATTGTCGTCGTCGTCTCCATAGATAGATAACAAGGATTACCAGGGAAAGGACAACCACTACTGCGGCAACTACGATACCCG